AAGACACTCAATAAGGACACTGGGTGCAGGCACACACAGGGGTACGGGGGTTACTGTCAACAAATCAAACCAAGAGTGTGTTGGTGCGTCTCTCAATACGTTGCGCTTCCTCAGTATGTCTGTGGCTCCGAGCAGCGAGGAAATTCATTCCTATTAAAAGTGGAAATCTGTAAAAACGGGCCATACTATCATTAATTAAAAAGGCTGAGTCACTTTCCTTGAGCGGCTGCGCGCTGCAGTATTCAGCATGCGGCACAAACACAAGTACATTTAGTATGTGTACTGCTTTCAGGATCAGTTCACTGTTGGTTTTGTTCTTTCCATGCGACCTGTTAGCAGTCTTTAAGTTTACAGTTTAAAGTCAGCGACAGCGTGTCGTCTTCTTCTTGTCTTGAAGCATTTAACCTTTGGGTTTGTGCAGTAGCGCTCGCATTCAAACAGAGGTCACATCCTGTAGCAGGCACACCTCCGCTATGCTTCAGTTTGTTTCCATACTGAACTCTGTACCGGGAAGCTTTACTGGGTGTGGAGCGGCCAGTGATAAGCTTTATTATGTTCACAAAAAACATTACTACTACGAAAAAAATGTTTGATTTTGCAATGTATAAAAGCTCTTTTTGTTGAAATGTATGCTTTGAACTTTACCCGACTCTCACTGAGCGGCAGGATGGTGGTGACGTTGTTCAGCTGCTGAGTCCCGATCACCGTCTTCATGTAGAGGACCTGGCAGTTGACACTCTGCACCAGCACCGAGAAGAAGTTGGGGTTGCTGAGGTTCAGTGTGCTCTGAGAAAAAGAAGAACAATGAAAAGGTACACAGGGAAATATCAAGACGCCGCCTACGTATAATGCAACAGGTTTGCGCAACAATACATTCACTCAAAACGTTCGAGTGGAGTGTGGTGACGGAGTACATTTCTCTACACGCAGGAAGTGACAACAACTTAAAAATGAAACCCTTGGACAGATTCGAAGCTTCGCACTCGTCTCGCAGTGTGGCTGCGTCAGACTAATGTGCTAATGTACAGTAACTGAGCCCACTGTGGCCGCTCTCACACAGAGAGAAAGTGTTCACTCCTGGGTCAGACAGTGAGATGGTTCCCTATCGCAGAAACACGCACTTCACAGTCTGAAACATTTCACAACATTAAGAAGCTTTACTTGACCTGAACACACATGACGAATGGTGACAGTGCAGAAAATGGAAATGGAAAAAAGACAGAAATTCCAATAATAATTCTCATTATGGTGATGAAAGGATGATTTGCCTGAGACTTGGATTATAGCTGCAACCAACTATTATTTTCTAGATGAACTGATCCATTGTTCTGAAACAGAGCTGTCAGACAATTGTGAAAAATGGAAACGATCCAATGGCAAAAGTCTGAAACCCAAAGATATTCCGTCAACTATCATTACGATGAAGCATCACATCTGCACATTTAAGGAGAACAGATTTCTGCGTTTGGCATTTTAGCTTGAAAAGCCAGTTGAAACCGCTGATCAATAGAGTTACAGGTTTGTTTTCCTTCAAATCGATCAATCAATAGACTACTTACATCAATTAAAAACAATTTGGACACATAAAACAAAACCAGGAGCCAGCACCGGAGCTAGAGGGCTCACTACAAACCACGCCTCTCTGTGTTGAGCACAGGTGACGGTGAGGTGCAATTACGAGAGAAAACCAACCGTCATGTTCATCAGGACCTTCATATTGGTGTGGTCGAAGCGCACAGTCACCGAGTGTATCCCATCATCCACCACAACCACAGAGCGAGGGAAGAGGAAGAAGGCCACGAGTGAAGAGGCCAGGAGGCACAGCACGACCGACAGGACCACGTACAGCTTCCTGCAACACAACACACGCTGACTGCAACAACCTGGCTCACCTGAAGGACACGCCACTGGACTGTACCACAGGAATACAAGCTTTCAGCGGAGGTGCATATTGGCAGGTCTGGAGTAGCGTACTTACGTTCTCTGGGGCTGCAGCCTTTGGTCGCTGTATGGGATCAGTGCAACCAGTTCATTCACTTGTTCTGTCAGGCAAGAGAGAACAGGTCATACAGCTGGATAATCAGTGTTTCCAAATACGTTTTAGACACACATCAAAGCCTCCAAAACTGTACGGCAAAAACAGCACATTGAGATTATTTATTATGGTTGGGGGGCTATATGAGTCAGAATTAGCGTGGGAATGATTGCAAACTGAATTTTCACCCACAAAATGTTGCAAAATCATGATGTGAAATATTTGGGAGTCTGTAGAAATATGGAGAAGAAGATTTCAGAGAATCTGTATGATATAACGCTGCCTGTCACACATTGTACTTTTATCAAAACACTGCAGCTCTTGTGATTTGCATAGTTCTCATAGTTCTTCTGTGATTTGGAGCGCTTCTGCTCTGGGCATTAATGCTGCCATTTTGATAATATTTCCATTAATTGTGCAGTCCTATAAAATTGCATTGTGACACTCCTGCTCTCTTAAATTAAAATACAACACATGCAATGCTCTTTCCCTGTGTCTGTTTGATCAGGTTAGACTGAGTAAGGCTCTTTAATAGCAGTGTGAAAGGCCATTTGCTATCATGGAAAAGAACAGAAACGTCCCTGTGTGCTGTCTGCTGTACTTTCAGACTGCACGGTGTCTTCGGACATACCGCAATAACTAAATGTTTTAGCAAATCGTGGGACTGAATTCTAAGCCTTGAAATTGTACATTTAAATGTGCTTTAGCTGCCTTTAAGCTTAGCTCTCAGATAATATAACGAACTTCTTCCAGGCTCGAGTGTATCCTCAGTGCGCTAACAGCATTCACACTCACCGGAAGGTATCCGTCCTGTCCCTTGGCATGTCGGACACGTTATGCTATCCCTGCCGGTGAACTCCACGTATGGGAACTGGGCTATGTCCTCCCGTCTGCCGAGCCCATCCAGAGACTCATTGTCCGAGTCTCTGTCCTCTCCCCGCCGCTCAGAGCTCTGCCTCTCCGGGAGGAGTGACAGGCTGCTGCCGCTCCGAGACAACCGCATCCCCATGGCGGCTCAACTCGCCTGAGGACGGGGTTTCCCACCCACTAACCGCCTGCAGGTGGATGACAAGGAGCCATTCGGACAGGAGACGTGTGAGCAGACTGACTCAGGAGCATTGACTGTAAAAAACCAGCTGTGTGATAAACTGTGACCATCTCTATCAAAACAGCTGACAGAGCCGAAATGTAACTTTAACGTAGCGGAATTGAACGCCGCTCAGAGCAGCGTCCCAAGCTAGCTAATGGTTTGCTAACAGAGCTGTTCAACAAGTTAGCGGTTAGCTACCAGTGGCTGTAACCGTCCGTAACGATAGTTAGCTTATTCAGACCTACTCCACTTACCTTTCAGACTAAACAAGTGAACCTTGCCATCCCACACAGAGTCGTGTTCACACCCGCGCGCACTCTCTGCATTCTGTCACACCAAAGTTTTCCATGTTGTGTTGCCTTCACGGCCCCTGCGTACCTTCACTAATCAATATCCAATTATTCAATACAACTCATCGGCGCATTCCAGTGGGAGATGTAGCATCAGGTGCGGTGTGTCGTGTTTTAGAAGTCAAGTAACAAAACACAGTAAGTCAGGCATTGAAGTGATATTTATTTATACAGTTGTTGCCCAGTTGCAATTATTGTCATATTAGTCGCTGAATAATTAATACATGAATACATTATCTGTTCTTATGTGCCAGTTCTTAAATGTTAGACAAGTTACACAGCAATTTGCAACATAACAAATTTCGTCTTTCTATGTGGTATTTTACATGTCTTACATTCTTATATTCAATATTTCCGACACTGTGCAGGCAGCAATTGAACGCACCCGCTTATTTCTCTGTTGACTGCTGCCCTCTACCGTTGTGGTGCAGCATTAATATTACTTTCTATTGAAGAACAGGACTAATGATGCATCAGGAAGTTGATTATTACTGGACTATAAAGAGTTTCCTGAGGCCAAACGCTTGTGTGACAACATCAAAACAAAGAAAAGGTATTGTATTGTGTATTGTGTACAACAACAACAAGTATCCTCAGACAGTAAGTCTGTCCTGAAGCCTCTTCCTCAGCTCAGCATTCTCTCTCTGCAGCATCTTATTCTGATAAAGGAGAAAGTCAGGGGGAAAAACATTTGAATTTCCTGGTTTTAATTCCATTTGAATTCTGCCTGAAGGTAAACTGAGAGCCTATTTGCAGCAAATTCAAATACATTCCTCACCATGACAGAATAAAATTAAACAGCGGGCCCAAGTCCTGATACTGATGTAAAAGCAGAACTAACCTTGTGTCTGAGTGCCTCCACTATCAGGTCTCGTCCTCCCCTCACACTCTCCTCCTTCTTTGAAGCTCTGAAAGCATCCCCGATGACTGAGACCAGCACGTGAGACTGAAAAGTGTTTGACAAATTTACACTTTGAGAGCTAGAGTATCTAATTTGGCTAGGGTACAGTGTTCCTCTCTGGTTTGTAAGCTACATTTTGTTCCCTGTATGAATATATTGGTGATCTCCTGCTATGCTGGACTGGGAATACTCACAAACGTCTTGCTCTGGAAGAGGTAGCAGTGGTACATGTCGGCTGCAGGGTGTCGAGCAACAAAGCCAAAGACTTTGGGTGAAGATGGCATGACGGCACAGAAGGAGATAGTGGAGAGAGGGCATGTGTACAACAGAAACTGAGGGTAGGGAAGACAGTGAGAGTCTTAAGAGTGATCATTCAAGGCCAAAGAAAGCAAGGCATATAATTAAACTGTGCACATTCCTGGAGTGGGATGGTAACTGGTACATTTTTGTCACGCACCTTGGTTTTGTTTTCCAAAATGTCTATTCCACTCAGTGACAGGAAGAGATAGACTTTGCTCTTCTTCGCTGCCTTTTCTGAGGAGTATTTATCTGGTGTCTGGGGATAAGAGGGGATTGATTGCATTTGTATTTGTCATGTTTGTTACTGCATCTTTAAAGTTCACAGAGAGCTCCTACAGTGGACACAGACTTTGTTTCTCATTAGAATGACTTGCAGAAGAGTCCCAGCATCCATGTCAACCATTCTTTGACCACATTTTGACAGTTTAACACACTGGTTCCCAACCTTTTCCTTTTCATTTATTACATATATTTTATATTTCATATTATGCCCCAACCAGTGAACACAGTAACTGCAGGACAGTTGTGTGATTTGGAGAAGATTATTTCCTGTGAATACTGATCAGAGACGAGTTTTCCTGATATTCTTAAGAACGTATTCTAAAATTAATCATATACTTCATAGGCTTCTTTTAGCTGTTTGGTTGTTTTCTAATGCAGGACAAAGCTGTTTATCAGAATGTGAATATAGCTTGTGTTCAGGCCTTCAAAGTTAAGACCTTGGATAATAAGAAAAAATTTAAAATAATTGAATTTACTTAATGAGTAAAGTGCATTGCACTGGAGCTGTATGTCTTGAGCCTTAAAAAAAAAAGCACACCGACTTTGGCTGCCATGTTGGAAAGAGTTGCATTGAAACTGTTTCCTTGTAAGGCAAAAAAACAGCAACTAAACAGGATGTGAGAGGTAATTACTGACCTTTAGGCTCTCGACTGCTTCATCCAGGATCTGTAGTCCATCAGGGCGGACCACCTCAACTCGGCCAAGAAACTGCAGGTTAGAGAAAGAAATAGACATTAAGCGAAATGGAGATGGTGCTTTAAATAAGGCTGAATATCAGCACTGACATGACAGATTAATGTCCCATTAATAGAATGATACATGCTGTACATACAGTATTTTATTTACATACATACATACATACATACAAGTGCAGTTCACAACATGACCAACTGAGCCTAAGCACACTCTGCTGTTCAGCTGCCGTTATTAATCACAGGAATATCACCATGTTCTTTGTTTTCCACATTCAGAATGAGATTTTAACATCAGTATTTACCTTTACTTGAAAGGAGATCTCATTATCATCTTCTGAAGTGTCGCTCATTTTAACACGTCTGCTCCCAAACTAAACCCTGACGTGAAGATGAGACATTAAGGATACATGTGTTCAAATTACCACAGTCATTAAAGAAATACTGTAAATCCGTCTTACCTTTTTTGTAAATATGCTTCAACCAGTGTGAATCGGCTTCTTATTGAATTACAGGTGGATGGGTGTAAAGTCTATTTGAGTTAATAAGTAACTGTCGTGTCTTCCTTATTGCTCTTTATCAGATATCCATGGCAACAGGTCGTCTCATCAACACATCTGGTGATCCATCAAAGGCAATTTCAGCACAAGGGTGTGGAAAAAACAAAAAGTGTCCTAAAAGGAACAGCATGTTCAAGAGTCTTACAGCTAGTTAAAGATCCCCTCCAGACATATACATATAATCTGCGTAGAATTATGTGTCTGATGTGTTTTTTTATACCCAAAAATTTGACATAAAAACACATTAAAATCCTTAAAAAGGCATTTTCTCTATCTGTGATGTCATAAATCCTGCTGGCTCCTTAAAATCAGATGTTCAAT